AGTCTAACAAGCATCAAAACCACAGATTTTGAGCTGAATCCAAATGTCAGTCCCCCACTGGGACTATCAGATCTGGGTTGTTTATCCCAGTCACTTACATTAGATACAAAAATCAAATGTTAACACATACACACTGCCGTGTACTGATAGCAGTAAACCTAATTAGAAAAAGGCCTGGCCTAAAATAGCATAACATTGCTTAGAAGTGAAAATAGAAGTACGACACACTATCTCTAAACTTCCCAAAGTTATCTGGTGTGCTTTTACCTTGCAATGCCACATTTAATCCCTAAACAGCCTGTGTTTGTGAGTTGTTATTAGCCTCATCCCCAGCTGCAGTATCTGTCACAAAGCCTTCACACCTCTGAAAACAAGGCCAGTTTTTAAGTACCTGCTGCAGACCAGAGGGCAGAGAGGGGAAAGTGATTTCAGTTCTAATGCACCGAGGGCAGCTCCCAGTGAACAGGAGGCCTCATTGGGCTTTTCAAACTTAACCTTCAACATGCTGATATGGGCACGCAGTCTGACAATAACAGTGTCTTGGGGTTGTATGTACAGGAATGGAGATTTCTAGAGAAAACATTTGCAGCAGCAACAAGGCAGCAGATTTGGAGACATGGATTTGGGATTTTTTTTTCCTTTCCAGAAGGGACTGCAAAGTGCATTTGTTAGAGCTATCTGCTGGCCAGAACTCAGGATGTGGAATGCCTTTGTGCGGTTGAACTTCACAGAATGCAGAGGGGTGGGCTGGGCACGTAAGGACCCGACCGCATGAAGCTGGGGTTACTGGGACAGTGTCATGCACAGAGACAAAGCCCAGCTTCTCCACCTGGAATCACATGGAAGGGTGCTGATGCATTGCCGTTTCTCCACTTCCCAGTATTATCTGACACCAGGCCCCTTGCAATGCCAGTGGGAGTGGGCTTGTTCCTTACCTGGAGGATGCAGTAATTCATTTATTTTTGGCTGTTCAATAGGCTTTTTCTCTCATTCCACTGTGGCATCTGTAAATAACCTCAAATGCCACCACACACTCACTTTACAGACCACATGAGAGAAGATCTAGATGTACAAAGCCACTGACAACACCAGTAATGCCACCCTCAGCTTCAGCACCCTGCCAGCCTGCAGTCACTTACTGGCCTGCCTGTTATTATGCTGAGGCCAAACCACTTGGTAAAAACAGGTAAAAATAGGACTGCTGGCACACCCATTCCCTAAGGCTTTTCCTGTCAGCCTGTAACGTTTTTGGAGCAAGAAGACGTGATTGTTTTGTTTGTGATGCATTTAACGCAGCAGCATCCTGACCTCAATCCTCAAAACAAAGCAGGGGTGCTATTGGCATGCACTGAGCGCTGGCGAGCAGAGCCCACCCACTTTCCCCAGCCTGGGATGTTCAGATGATGTTCAACTCCTTGGTGTCTTTAGATGTAGGCAAACAAGGGTGCTGTGCTGGATGCCAGCCCATAAGCAAATTGCCTTTACAGCTCATACAAACTGCAGCAGGTGGGTGACACACAGCTCTCACCTTCTCCATCCCTTAGTGCTGCACTACAAGACAGGCAGAGCTTCCACGCCTCTCCATCATGAGGCTTTACCTTAAAATAAAGTCTAATCAGATGGTCATTATCATTCACTTTCACCCAGTGAGAGTAAGGCATGATTTACAGAACATTATCATTACAAAAATATTATAATTAATAAAAGGAGGCTGGATATCCTATTCTCGCTACTGCTGCCTTTAGATTACCTGCCTCTGCACACTAAGCCCTGTGATTGCCCCAAGTGAAATGACACTGGGGTAGTTTTTCCCTGTAGCTGTAGCCTTCAGGGTCTCACCTCCCTGGGCAGCACTAGATCAGCTCAGCTTTACTGGGTGCCAGTCTGGAGGGCCACAAGCTGAAGGCAGGAATGACTACATCTGTATGAATGCCCCATGCACAGGTTAACCGAAGGGGCAGGTGGATGTAGGCAGAAGGTGGGTGCCGTGTATCACTGCCTCCTATTTTTCCAGAAGCAGCTCTCAAAAAGCCTCATCTTCAAAGGGCTCTCTAAAGCTTCTTTGAAAACAAAATGATTAAAGGCTATTTTCCTTCTCTTCCAACATCAGACACATCTCGCGCCACATCCTTGCTTTCACCCCTCATTATGCATGCAGCTTTTTCCACAGCTCCCACTTTTGCATCAGGGTGGAAGTTACAACTCAGAATTAAAAGCAAAGTTCATTACCACACATCAAAGTAGGCATGGCCAGACCTACCCTTCCTTTTATTCATAGGGGGCTGTCTATTTACAGACGTCAGCCCCCATGGGTTTGCATGACAAGCTGGAGGCAGGAATGCCCATGTCTGGCAGTGCTGGTGGGTTTTTCTCTCCTGAATGATGAGTAACCTCCATTGGACTTTAGGTTGACATGATCGAGATATGCTGGGCCATTATGATGAGGTCTTTAGAGCCATTTTATTAATCACAATAATACTTGATCTGCAGATAACACCCAACCACAACGTGGCTGACTGAGCCAATTACATTGTGCTCTGTTCGACGCAGGAGCCAAAAGTCTCATTACTTGCCCCCCACACACATGACAGTGCACACGTCAAAAGAGCTTCTGCCAGCACCTGTGGACAGGAAGGGCAGGAGGAATAGGAGGGACAGGCACAGCCAGCTTCTACCCCAACCAGCCTTTAGGCTGATACTTTGCCTTCAAATGCTTTTCATATGAGGTGGGCTTAGAGTTTATTTTTTCGTTTCATTTTAATTAACAGTTTTGTCACAGCAGGAGGGATGCTGAAAACAAAAATACACTTAAAAAAAAAAAAAAAAGCATGATTTTTTGGATTTTTCTCAACTTTTCCTGTTTTTTTCTGCCGTATTGAATGTGAGCCACAAGGCAGTAAAATATTCTGCAGTCTCACAAAGCAGCCGCCAAGCTGCATAATAAAAAATCATGTGAGGAATCTGCTCTATAATGCTAACTAGGTGGCATCAGCTGTGGGTTTGTAAATAAAATGTGAGGCCTGTTTTCCTCAGCTTAGGAAAGGCAGACCCCAGGTAAAAGCCTTGATTTCAGTCCTGCTCCCATTTGAGTTTTCCTGGGCTGTGGGAGCCATTATCCTCTGTGGCTGTTCCTCACCAAAGACACAGGGGACAGGAGTGTTTTCAACCCACCAGTGACCAAGCCTCACAGATGCAGATGACCCCAGCCACTGCCATCCTCCAGCTCGCTTTCTGGGGGTCCCAGCACCTTCTAATGTCACCTTCCCAAAGTGAAATAAAAACAATTGGAAGGTGAAAAGTGTTAAGAAAATGCAGTAGCAACTCATAAACTTGCCATGGGAGAAGCTTTAAAAGCAGCTTGCTTTACATCAGGTCACTTGGAAATGAAGTGTCATTATTCAGGATGAAATCCAGCCTCTCAGTGCAAATGCATGCGACAGACAATCAGCACCGTCAGGGAAGAGGGGCAGCGGTGGGTTTTACAGCAAGGAGCTTTCAGCAGAACAGGGACGAGCCGAGAGGTAAAAAAGATCCATTTAGTGTGACCTGAATTAGCAGCTATAGATAGTGCTTCCTGCATGTTTTACATTTTCAAATAAAAAGGATCTTCTTGTTTAATGGTTAATAAAAATGATTAGTGCTCCCAGGGCAGGGATTCTGGCAGATGCAGACTGTGCTGGAGGGACCAGCTACAAGACACAAGAGAAGATGAAATCAGTTTCTTTTTTTTCCTGTGGAGTACATTTCTACCAGCATTTGCAAGTTAATTTGTGATATAATTATATGTTGCTTCTGTCACAGAAGCGCAGCGTGTGCGATGGGCCAGCAGCCTGCCACTGTCAGCCTGCGGCAGCCCAGCAAACACTGCTGCAGACAGAACAGCTAACAGCTAAGAGGTTGTGGGGGTCTATACACACACATATATATTTGTATATACATATGTATTATATATGCACACTCATATATACACACATATGTACATGTCTATTCACACGTGCATATAATACACATATATAAAATACAAGTATATATGTCAGTGTATATATCTGTATCTATCCATAGAGATATAAAGAGATAGAGAGATGATATAGATTAGATATAGATATAGATATAGATATGAATATAGATATAGGTAATAATAGATATAGTTACGGATTTAGATATAGATATAGATTAGATTTAGATATAGATATAGTTATATAGATATGGGTGATAAACACTATACAGGAAGGCAAGCTGATTGCCTTGGAGCATGCCCTGCTTTGCTTTAGAGCTTCCAGGCTAACTGGCCAGGAAAGCATTGCGTTGCCCAGCTCCCCAGTGTAGCACCCAGCATCACCATCTTCCTAACAAAAATAAAGCCTGCCACGCCAGCCTCTTGGCAGCTCTGCAGCCTCTCTGAAAGCTGGGCTTTTTCTTTTTCTTTCATTATTTTTTATTTTCATGGCATGCCACATAGAGGATTACAGTCAGTAATAGTTTTCTAAGAAATAAAGTCTGTGAAAGTAATTGTTAGAAACAAGCAACAACAGCAAATGCTTGCTGAATGGTTGCCATAGTGCAGGAGCACAATTTGAGATGTAATATCATTACTAATGATATTTACTTGGCCTGCAGAAGAGAGTGGGACTTACGCTCCCTAAATGTCATTTGACTGCTAATATGTCACGAGCACACCCAAGGAAGGGACCAGCGTGACCCAGGGCACCACTGCCCATGGGAAGGTGATGCTGCTGCTGGTGTCCCCTCCACAGTCTGTGCTTTACCCATCACCCCAGGAAGCCCACATCTGGCAGTTATGTGGGTCTGCAAAGAGCCCTCGTGCATGTAGCTGAAGCACTGGGGCTCAGCTCCTCCCTGGCACCCCTGGAGCAGCACTGCCCAGCACCTGAAACAAGCCCCAGGCTCCTATTTACTGATCTGAGTTACACAGACTGTGAGTTCAGACTTCCTCTCCTGTCGGGCTTCTCCATGGGAAGGGGAGACATATTGCATTGCTGTAAAGTGAGCCATTTAGTCTATTAAGCGCTGTTAAGGGTGCCCTGAGGTCTCTGCACATGTGGGACCATCAAGGCAGAATTGTTATTATTATGGTTCTTATTAGTCATAGTCATTTTCCCAGTGATATGTCTCACGTCCAGATGTCTTCCCATCTATCTCTTACATTTTGTGATGCTAACACAAAACTGTTATGAAGATGGACTAGTCCACGTCCTGCTTCATGCAGTACAGGAGCAGAACATTTGTGCAAAAATAAATATATATATATTTTAAATTAAAAGACAAACGAAAGAAGGGGTCATAGTTGGCTAAAAATGAATTGAGCAGTGCATAAAAGAGACAACAGATTAGAGAAGATAACGTTTTAGTTTAAGTGTTCCGTCATTATTAATTCATTTAGTGCTCTTTATGATAATACCAATCATTTGGAATTCATTTGGTGTTTATGTGGATGTCATCTCAACTCCTGCAGAAATTCCAAAGTAATTCAGCATTAATGTGCTATTAAAAATTGTTACCAGACACTACCTTCATTACTTCATCAGCACAGACTAATCTTTCTTCTCCCATTCTCTAAATTCAAATTTCGCTCTTTATTTTGCTTTTATCTTTATTAGGGTTTTAAAATGTAATGCTTCTATTTAAAAATTCTCCTTATGCTACATGAGTGTTGTCTGTTTTTTTGACAGCATCAAAACTATGCAAATAAAGGGGGTGGGGGTTGATGGTGATTTTTCATTTTATTACTGGCATTTGACTGAGAAACAACCAAAAGAGGTTTCAGCTTATCATTTATAAGAGTGAAACTACTGAGCTGGTATTTATGTTCACAGCAGATAACACCCAACCAAATCTGTATGAAATGTCATCTGCACCATGTGGAGTTCTTCCTTTTTGGGCACAAGAGATGCTCCTATGTCCCTAAGTCAGGCAGTGAAAGGATGCAGCTGCCCTGGCCCTCCCAAGGCACCACAGGGACCAGAAAGGTCAAGCTGCCACTGACAACCCTTTTCTGGACTCCCCCCATCAGTGGAGCATCCTTCTGCTTCCAGCTGAGGAACATCAGAATGGCAGGTGCAGTAATGGATATTCTGGGTCCAAACCCTGGCAATAGAGGAAAAAAGGCTGCCCTTGCCATGGAACATTAAAACATTAAAAAAGCCCTAGGAGATTAAGTGCAAAAACCTTGCATTAAAAGAGCATTAATTAGGTTTTATAGTCAGGGACTCAAAGATTAGAAAATGCCAGATTGCTGGGAGTCTAAATAAGAAGAATAAAAATAAGAAGAAAAGAAACACAAAGGCTGGGGTTAGTTCCTAGCTGTGCTTCTCTTGTTGTGCAGCCCCCTAATTACATGATCACATACTATATTTCCCCTAGACACCTGCTTCTTTTGGACCCCAGGACAATGATGTACAGGGGCAGAGTGAAGTTTGGGCTTGGCAACTCTCATTCTGGCAGCCACAACTGGAGTGCTTGACCGTGCAAACAAATGACACTTTTAATGTTGCTTCTTAACAAATATTACTTGTTTGAAATTACAGACCACTAGGGACCCATGTGTATGTGTGCAAAGATAAAGGGGTAGGCATTATTCAGTGCTGTGTAGCCCAGAGAAAGTGAAGAACACAACACAAAGTTCACTGTCCATCCCTTTAAGTACCCATTTCATGGAAAGGAGGGATGAAGTCCTTCAGGTGACCAATGAAGTGAAGCCCATCAGCAGGGTCAACAGGGGTACCTGAGCAGAACAGAAACAGCATGGGCTTGTCACACCAGGGCTTACACTAAATATCCCCAGCTGGTGGCAGAGAAGAAGCCAGCATCAACCTGGCTCCTGGCCATGGAAAAGGCAGATGCCACCACCATCCCCTGGCACTACTGGGTCCTGGCCAGGGCCAAGCATCCTCCACCACTCCCATGGACCACAGAGCACAGTTTTACACACAGAATAAAGCCCATTGCAGAGGGATTTTCCACTTAATGAAAATCCTGCAAGGAATACGAATGCTTATAGGTTAAAGGAACCTGGCAGCTCTTACTTGTCTGTCATGTCTTTAAGGATTGCCATTAAGTCATAAACATGACAAAGATTAAAGAGTTTATTAATGTTATTAGAGAGTTGAGATAAAATGGTTTGCCTCGCAGGGTCTCTCTCCCGCTCTCACTATTTAATGAAAACATTTTCATCACTTTCTGAATCTATTACACCAAATATTCATTTCAGGAGTCCTAGGACAATGTTATTTTAATTAGAAAAGATGTAGCAACCACCTGAAAGTAATACAGTTAAAATACCTTGCCACAGCTCCTCTTATTCTTGCTGCCATCAAATGAGTGTTTTTCCAGCCCTGCCAAGGCAGCAGAGCAAGTGAAGGTGCACAGAGAAGTTTTGCAGCATGAAGACACAGGGAGCCAGCAGCACCTCTGCCCAGGCCTTGAAGTTGGCTCTGTGCATCTCCAACAGCTGTCATGTTGGCCAAGGTTAGTGGGTGATGAGAGCCATTGGATGGGCGGCTAAGTCCCTGGGGAGCAAGTGAGGGGTAAGAGCATCTTCTGCAGGCACAGGAGACAATGTAAAGTCCTTGCTGGTGGAGAAAAGTGAAAGGAGTAAAAGAAGCTTAAAAAATAAAAGGAAAAGGGAGGTTTGTGATGGCCTGTGAAAGGACCATTATCCTCTGCAAATCTATGGCAACTAGTCACAAAAAGCAGAAGAAACAAAGCAGCCAAAGTCTTTTCTTGGTGTTGGCCACTTTGACTTTGGTGGGCATTACACCATGCCTGACTTTTAATCCATGTTTAGGGCAAGTCCAATCTTGAATGATAAAGGCTGAAAATCTACCACTTCCAATCAGTGCCTGCACAGTTATATTTTCCTGTGTGAGCCTTCCTTCCAGCTCAAGACTTTTGAACTCTATTTGCCATGCAAGCAGCTCACAGATGCACCTTCTTTCAAACTTCCCAACTAACCCGATTTGTTAATTTATTCTATAACCTGATTCACTGTTAATTTATTTTTGTGGCTAAGACATCCCTGCTTTAAGGTCCAATTAATTAAAGGGGAGGGCTCAATGTTTTTGCTACGCAGTATCTTCTTGGCACATTGTATTCCATTTTAACTGTATTCCATTTTAACACCACAATGAAGCATTTCCAAAGTTTATTGTCATTAACTAACCTAAATCCATACATCTGCAGATTAATTTCATGCACACAAAAGATTACTCCTTGCAAATGTACCTTTAAGAGGGGAATATTTGCCATAGCAAACATCACTTGTTGCTTAGCAACAGTCATAGCATCACTTACGGAAAGTTTATCCTAAACACCAACATAAAACCCAGGGAAGTGGCAATCTACCCCATGTCATCCATCTTTGCAAGTGCTGCTCAGACCTGGGTTAACAGAGGCAGCATTTGTTAATTTTCCATGGGGGTTTTTGGAGGGGTGTCTGATTTTAGAGATCTTAACAACAATAAAATAATTCTCGGCCATTAAACAATTTTAAGCAGCAATCCAAAGCTTGGTGCCCCATCCTGACCATGATGGAAGTGCAAGTGCAAGTCAATGTGAGCATGAATGCTTGCTCAGGCTGTGGCTATGTTACTGCCAGCTCAGCATTTTGCACTGAACACTTAAAATATTTACACATAGTTTGTTGCAATCAACTCAAGATTAGAAGAGGGAAATCAGATTATATTAAGACCATCCTAAGGGTATCCCGAGGCTGTTTTAGTCTTCCTGGAAGAAGCCTGGAAAGCCCCTACAGCCAGAAGCTGTCAGCTCCCATCACTATTCATGTGACTAGCTACCACTGCAACACACAAACTTTACAATGGTTCATACGTCCCTGTGCCTGCCCATCCATCCATCCATCCATCCATCCATCCATCCATCCATCCACATTGCTGCCTGCCTCCTCCATCTCCCTTGGTGTGCTGCCTGCCAAACAGCTTTCTGACGTGACCTTCCTGCCTGCCCCTTGCCAGCCATGGGTACCAGCCAGCTGCTCCCCTTGGCCAAAAAAGTGGCACGTAAATAGTCTAACAGCACCCATTAGCCCTGCCTCTGACAGTCCATGGAGAGGAGCCTGCAAGCTCAGGCCCAGGTTTTAAAGCTATTATGCCAAATATGTAGGCACAGTTAATTCACAAAAGGTGAATGCAGAGTTTGCAATCAAGGAAAAATTAGCATCTCATCCAGCAGAAAGGGTGAATGTGTGAGCCAGCCAGCACTGCCAGCACCCTTGATTCTGTTTTTGGCAAAGCTGGCTGGCTTGGCAAACACAATGGTAATGGGATAAACTGAAATACCAGGCAACAGGGCTGCTCTTTGAAGTAATTATCCTCCAGGGCAGCAAGGAGCAAGATAAAAAGGGGTTTAGAGACATGGTGTGGATGTACAGGGGACATTATTTGCATTCCTGAAGTCAGGCCTCAGTTTGCAAGGCTCAGGTGTGCTGATGCCAAGCAGCTGGAGAAAGGGCAGGAAAGCCTCAGGTGTGGGTAGAGCAGCAAGGCAATGCGGCAGGAAGAGGAGCTGTGCAAGGATCAGCACTGTCAGCGGGTCCTGGGTTCAGCAGTAGCAGTCATTTTTCTCCGTCTTAGTAACTGGTGCAGTGCTGTGGTTTTGACTTTCAGCTTGGGAGTAGAGCTGATAACACCAATGTTTTTAGTTGTTGCTAAGTGATATTTACTCTGACCAAGGACTTTGTGAGTCTCATGCGCTGCCAGGGAGAAGGGGAAGCTGGGAGGAAGCAGAGACAGGACACCTGACCCAAACTAGCCAAAGAGGTATTCCATACCACAGCATGTCATGCCCAGTATATAAACTGGGGGCAGTTACCCAGAAGGGCTAGGTCACTGCTTAGTTGGGCTGGGTATCGGTTAGCGGGTGGTGAGTGGTTGTATTCTCCTCCCTTGTTACTTCTCTTATCATTATTATTATTGGTGGTAGCAGCAGTGATTTGTGCTATACCTTAGTTACTGGACTGTTCTTATCTGAACACGTGGGAGTTACATTCTTTCGATTCTCATTCCCATCCCTCCGGGAGCCAGGGAGGGAAGAAGAGGCGAGTGACTGAGCAGCTGCGTGGTTCTAAGTTACCAGCTGGGCTTAAACCATGACAGCAGTGTTAAACCCTTATTGATCTTGAACATCTGTCCTATACCCACTGTTCTGACCCACAGGCAGAGGTTTCATTGCAAGCATTTAACTTTGAGAAATACATATCCATTTAAGGGGTAGAGCATAGGACTAGAGACAAGGTGAAGGACTGAAGAGCACAGTGTCTAATCTCATAGTTGGGAACTACAGGTGAGCACCAAGTGGGATTTCATCTGGCATGCACACAGAAGAAGGAGGAAAAGGCAAGGCAAGGAAACAGTAATTTGTGGCACAACACACTCCCTTAGGTCGCTTGTGACTAACCAAGTAAACTGCTGGCATTTTCCTATCAGACACTTGACTCTAGTCCAATTGTGAGATTTTAAACAAAATTAGTTTTGAAGTAACAGCATAAGAGTTGGCATCACCCATTGACCCATGCACAGTGTGCCGTACGGAGATTTCATTTAGAAGAAGCTGAGGAAGCTGAGGATCACCTCTCACTCCCCCAGGCCCTGCTAGAGGTGAAGGCAGGATGCAGGACACATCTCACTGCTCCCACTTTCCACTGCAGACAGCAGGGCTTGTGTTGACACTCTTCTGATACCTATGTGTTAAAGCTTTTTCCTAAAGAAAAAGCTTAAAAAGGTGAAAAGTGTTTTTTCACCAACACCTCAGAGGAGGAGGAAGACAACTGTTCAGCTCCTGCTGAACCTTAGAAGCTTTTCCTTCACTCATAACAGATTTTAATTACTATTCTTGTTCTTTTCAATGGAAAGGCCATGAAAATCACGACTGCACATGAAGAGGTGGTGAAAGGGAAAGCAGCATGGATTGCACCCAGGCAGCTTCAGCAGGGACACACATGGAGTGGCAGGACCAGGACCAGTGGAATGGAGAGACGGAAATGCAGTCATGACCAAGGATGGTTGCCGCAGGGAGAAATAATTTTGCAGGAGGGAGTCTTTGGCCTGTGCTCATCTGTTAAAGGATGGAACAATGTCTTCCCTACAGGGTGTTCAGGCATTGGAACAGGCTGCCCAGGGCCATGGTGGAGTACTGTCCCTGGAGGTGTTCACAAACCATGCCGACAAGAAAGGCCCTTAATGACATGGTTTCGTGGTGGCCTTGGCAGTCTTGGCGGTACATTTGGACCTGAGGATCTTGGTGGTCTTTTCCAACCAGGTCAATTCTATGATGCTGCAGCTTCCCTCTGCCCACACACAGACACACAGGCTTTTGGTGAAGGAGCTGCAGGCAGAGAACCAGAGGGTGAAGCCCAGATGCACTTCTCTGAATCCCTCACAAAAATAGGAATTTCTCATGAAAGATATGCAGGAACACCTCTCAGGGAGAGCCCGCGGCTCCTGGCCAGGCTGGATCCCTGCAGACAGTGGTTTCGGAAAGAAAAGCTCTATTCTAGGAAAAAGCCCCACATCTCCTTCTGCACAGGAATGCATAACCAACCAAGCCGAAAATGTTTATTACAAAGGAAAATTATGAGAGATGTGCCTGAATCCAGAACTAAATGTAAAACAGGAGAAACAAATATAAAAAGCTTTATAAAAGTTTTAATGGATCCTTTCAGAGTGGAATGGCATTTTAATGTGATGTTTTAAGTGATTTCTTCCTCTTTTTTTCCTTTTTAGCTTTTAGGCAGACCATTAACCTGAGGGGTTCTTTCTGCCTCCAGAGGAGTAACACACCAAAGCAGGCACCTACCAGATGACTGCTGGTGGGCAAAGCCAAGGTGGGGTTGAAAATATCATGGTCCCAAGCATTGCATGGTCTGCCCAATGCACCCAGTGAGACCCAGCAGCACCCAGTCCCATTGAGGCTTTGCTGATGGTTTCAAAGGGAGCTGCACACTGGGTGGGTTTGGTGTGGACGGATGAACAGCCAGCACAAAATGGAGTACGCACATCTCCTGCTGCTTACAAAGGCACCTATAAACAGTGAGGCAGTCCTAGCTATGAGATTTTCCCGTACTTACTTTTCTGATGCCAAGGACCTACTTTCAGGCTTTGACTCCAGCCTATGAATTTCCAACACCTTAAAAGTCTCAAACTGTGTGCTTAAATATCTTTGGCCTATTGCTGACCTTTCTGAATCTCAGGAACAGCTATTTCTTCTTGCTGATGCAGATGCAGGAAGTTCTTAACTAAATCCTAACTGAAAGCCAGAAAAGCAGATAAGCAGGTTAATCCTCCAGCCTGTCAGACCCCAGGTTCCCTCAGACTGCAGGTCAAGTCCTTGCTCTGCAGACCAGCTCAGCAGTTTGCTCACCCTTATCTTGACTGTGCCAGTGTGTGATTCTCTGGAGCTGGGAAGGAAAGCATCTCTGCTTTCCAAAGTGAGAAATATTTTACTGCTGATCATTCACTTACATTTGTGGTGCATGAAGCTGGTCTCTGGCTGCTGCTCCCTTCACAAAAACCTTGTGGAAGGCTGTGGAAAATGCATTCAAACAAACACACGTTTCAGGTTATGGGGTTTGTGTGTGTGTGTGTGTGTGTGTGTTAGGTTTTGGCTACAAAAAGCCTCCTCAAAATCATAATTTTCCCTGGAAATACATGATGTAACTGAGCCAGGAATAGCAACATCTTTTAGGGATATGCCTATGTTATTTAATAAGGGCAAAGTTTCAAATGCAGCAGCACTGTATATGCAAAAAATGTATTGATTTTGATGCCTTCAGAGACTGCTCTGGTCAAAAGGAAACAATAAAAGAAGTACTTTTATCTAGAATACCGCAGCATCACTTCTGTGTGAATTTGGCCTGCTTTCTCAAGAAGGGGTCTGGAAAACCGGCACAGGGGGGAAATGAAATCCCAGCCACTCACTCATTAATGAAACAGCAACAAACTCATTAAGAGCGGCGATTGCTGCAGAGGGTGCCCCGGTTGCACCAGCTGCTCCGCGCAGCAGAGCCCTGCCAGGAGCCCCAATTAGGCAGATGGAGCTCACTGGGCCGGCGGGGGGCCAGCCTGCCCCAGCAGTTTAAGGGAGCTGAGCCCATGCAGGACTGTCACAATGACAGAGACCCCACCTGTATTAGAACAGCAATAGCAGTCCTCGCAAAAGCTGCTGTGGAAGAAACCCATGCAGAAGAATGGCATGGTCAGAAGGCTGAGCGTGCTCAATTCTTATCTGCAGTGCTGCTTCATAACTCACCTACACTGACCTCTGTCCCCTCCACCGCCAAAGGCTATAGGTCTCAAATCACCTCTTTCCCCTTATTTCACATCCTCTCTGCTCCTGGTTCCCCCTGAGGCTGCAGGCAGCACTTAAACCAAGGTAGCCTGAAGTTGGTTGAAAGTAACCCTTGGAGGTTAGTGTTGTCCCATTGTCTTTCAGGCTTGCACAGGACAAGTCTTACCAAGTCTTTCATCACCGTAACATACCCATGGTCTCTGCAAACACCCGCAATCACCTGGGTTTCCTGCACTACACTTACAGGCTCCCAGTCCTAACTTAAAGGACAGTCTGGCACAATCTCAAAAGACAAGTGGCAGCCTTTCAGTTTGGAGTCATCCACAGCTCATGTTCAAGGGGCATCCTGGCCCATGGGAGGGGGTTGGAACTAGATGATCTTAATTTCCTTCCCAACCCCAACTATTAGTTTCCATCCCAACCCCGATGATTCAAAGAAGCTGACAAGTCTTGCTGTGCTGGAGGTAGAAGCCTGAAGGTCAAAAACCAACTTCATGCCCAAGTCATTTCAGAAAAGGGTGAGTGACATTTAGGACATGCTGCTCAGAGGGGTACAT